CGTTGCCGATTCTCATAGATGACCCTACGGTATCTCATTTTATCTCAGAGAATTCGTCAGCTGCAAAAATATAGCATTAGGTTGGCTACCTTCAGATAGTACACGCCAATCAATGGTTGAAGTTATAAGATATCCAGTCCAACCACGTGACTACTTTTCAGATCTATTGCATTGCTATTCCTTCAAGCGTTCCATGAAAATTAGTCACACGAAGTATTTCAGCCCATTTACCTTTTTAACTGACAGATACACATATATTCAAGTATGTCGATAACTAAATAAAACAATTGGTAATAGAAATAACTGGTAATTGTTTATAAAACATTGTACGCATATGGCGTCATAAGACATAAATATTAAATTGTAAATATAAAGTATTAAAACATAATAATGATAAGAGCATCACACAATGTTGCATGGTCCTTGTATTCTATAAAAAATAGCTTTCACATCGTTGACAGAATACAATTAACCTCAAAAAAAAACTTGGTTGAAAAGCTCGTCTCACCCCCGTTAATGACCTAACAACTATAAGCCAATAGCTTCGCTGTCTATAATCAGCAAAGAATTGGAGAAGTGTATAAATGGGAGCTTTTTAAAGATCATGAGTTTGAGAATTCATGGCTTCCCCCGCCGCAAAATGGCGGTTCACATGTTTCATAGTCACCCCAACGGCATGGCTATCAAATGAAAGGGCTTGATGAAGAAACACAATAAACACAGTGACGTCATTCTAAGTCCAATATGGCGTATCGTATTTAGATAGACTTTATACCTCTGATTGGTGATACTTTGCTCCGATTTCGTTCGCTGGTCTTCCTAGACACCTGTCTAGACTGTGCTGATGATTGCCAATAAGCACGAAACAGCAACGCAAAGTTGGTGCTCTATTTGGTCGGACGGAAAAACACAGTATTTTCAATTTTCAATTGCAAGTAGACCACATCTATTATATCGCCAGAATCGGCGGCATGAAGCGGTCAGAGTGAGGACTCGGCGGTACTTCCAACAGATGGTTGCTATTTATCCACACAGTGGTCGATTCTGGTAATAGATTGCACTTTTGTTATCGTATTTGGATAGACCTCATACCTTTGATACCGCGCTGATGATTGTCAATAAGCATGAAACAGGTGGACGTGGTTTGCTCTTCTGTACGCTCTAAAAATGCGTCTGTCAGAGGAAGACGATCGTCAAATTTAACGACGAAATGATGCTTATTTGAATTGGGATATTTACAAAACAAAAAGTATCAAACAACGCTATATTAATAATAAAATAATGAATCGAAGTATCATCTCCAATTTTAACGGCCTGCAGTAAATCTTCAAAAATCATACAAAGCGTCAACATTATATTTAACTAGTTCATGAATTTATAATTTCGAGAATTATTGTTTTGACATCTGTGAAAACACAACATTACTCCGTCTCTTTATGCGTGTTATTATTTCATTGAAAGATACACTGATAGTTTATTCGTTTTCCGTTGGTGATGTTTATATACAAACATCCACAGAATGGTCAACATCTCTTATACACAGTTAGAGCGCCCTATATGTTGTATTTAGTTTTGAATGATGATGATATTTTATGAGAGGTCAGATTGTTTATTGCAAACAATCTCTTTTATCTTTTTTTCGTGAATCTGTTTGATTTAAATGACTGAAAATATTGTAGAAAACATAAATCATACCAAATGCTGGATGTTATAAATATGTATAATATATGGATACAAGTGGTGCCATTAGTAGAACATTTTAAAAAAATCTACAGCTTTAGTTTCCCTATCCTGAAAACATACACAAAAAGGATAGCTGAAGTCCAGTCACCAGACTTTTAACACAGTACAATGGCTTGAAGAAAATATTTGCACAAAATATGACTGTATGATGCAGACAACGCGAAAGACGAAGAGGAAGCAACAATTGTTTGGAAAATCAAGACAAAAACAACGAGAACTGGGTTGGCTACTTTAAACCTCGAGAAATGAGAAACAATAATCATTAAAGGTCCCAGTACATTCGAGAACACACTTTCCACCCGACTAGCAAATATATTTTATAAAGTTCTACTGTCCATGCTGTTTTATTTTATAATTGCTTTATTACTGCTGTCAGAACCATTAAGCTTTTAAGAAGTATTTTATGGAGCCTTGGACTGTGGAGCACCGCGTTTTCGCCTATGAGTGACGAAGCATGGTTAACCAGCAGAATTGTCGTTATTGGGCTAATGAAAATCCGCAACAGTTACACGAAAGACCGCTGCACAGCCCAAAAGTAACGGTTTGGTGCGCTGTATCGCAAACTTGCATCATTGGCCCTTACTTCTTCGAAGACGGTAATGGTCGTGATGTTACCATGAACTCGGAGCGATACGTCGACATGATCACCAACTTCTTTCTCCCTGAATTACGACGGCGACGTGTTCCAATCCGACGTGTGTGGTTCCAGCAGGATGGGGCGACCGCCCACACAGCCCGAGCATCCATGGACGTTATTCGCCCTCTCTTCCCTGGTCGCCTTATTTCCAGGTTTGGCGATGTTCATTGGCCTCCTCGATCCCCAGATTTATCTATATGCAATTTTTTCTTATGGGGACACCTCAAGGCTAGAGTATACGCGAACAAGCCCCGAACTCTGGACGAATTGAAGTGCGAAATTCGCGTGGAGAGAGCGATGTTGGAGAGAGTCTACGCGAACTTCCAAGAACGCATCCAGCACGGCATCAACGATTTCGGCCACCACATGCCTAATGTGATTTTCCACACTTGTCTGTCTCAAATGCTATTTCCTTGTGAACCTGATTCCATCAATAAATTTGTTTTCGAGTAAAAATTAACTATCTTATGATTTTTTTAAAACCGTCCATTATCTCTGCCGCACCCTGTATAATGGTATAAGATGGTTCAATTGAATTATTTTATTGAAATACAGGCCAGAATAAGAGAAAATACAGAATGGAAATTTTGACCTTTTCACTTAAAATTCAATAATACCTAATATATTACTTGAGGCGGTTGAAAATTTTGCTAGATATATCCCATATAACGGGTGATTTTTTAAGAGGTATAGGATTTGATTTTCAAAAAAAAAACACAAGAAATTTGAAAATCGATTAAATCTTTATTTGAGTCGATGGAACGGTCGATATAATTTAATGTTTAAAGATTATTTCATGTAAATGTTGGCCGCGGCTCCGCTTTAGATGGCCCATGCGCAAGGTCCAATTTTCGCACACTCTCACCAACATATCGGCCGGTATCTCACGAATAAATGCTTCACTATTGGCTTCCAGTGCGTCAATCGTTGCTGGTTTATCCCTGTAGACATTAGCCTTAACACGGCCCCACAAGAAATAGTCCAACGGCGTTAAATCACACGATCTAGGCGGCCAATTGACGGGCCCCAAACGTGAGATAAACTATTCACCGAACTCGCCTCTTAATAGGGCCATTGTTTCGTGTGCGGTGTGGCATGTGGCACCGTCTTGTTGAAACCACATGTCAGCCAAGTCCAGCTCTTCCATTTTGGGCAAAAAAAGTTTGTTATCATCGCACGGTAGCGCTCGTCATTCACAGTTACGTTCCGGCCATTGTCGTCTTTGAAGAAGTACGGCCCGATGATGCCACCGGCCCATAATCCACACTAAACAGTAATTTTTTCGGGATGCATCGGTAGCTCTTGAAATGCTTCTGGCTGGTCTTCACTCCAGATGCGGCAATTTTGCTTGTTTACGTACCCATTCAACCAGAAATGAGGTTCGTCGCTGAACACAATTTTTCGATAAAAATGTGGATCTTCCTCCAACTTTGCCAGCGCCCATTACCCAAACGGGAAATGTTGTGGGCGGTCGTGTGGCTTCAATTCTTGCACCAGCTATACCTTACAAGGTTTTACACCCAAATCCCGTCGCAAAATTTTCCACGTAGTGGAGTAACAGAGGCCCAATTGCTGCGAACGGCGGCGAATCGACATTTCACGGTCATCACTAACACTGGCGGATACAGCCGCAATATTTTCTTCAGCCCTCACTCTACGTCTGCGTGTTGGTGGTTTAATGTCCAATAATGTAAACTGGGTTCGAAATTTAGTCACAAGCTTCCGAATAGCTCCCTCAATAGGCCGACCAAATTGCCCATAAATTGGAAGCAGTGCTCGATGCACTCTCTTAACCGAGCATGAATGTTGATAGTAAAATTCAATAATTTGCAAGCGTTGTTCGTTCGTAAGTCGATTCATGGTTAAATTATAGACCAAACTGAACAAGTTTGACAATGACACAAGACACGATTCACGCGTCATCTGTCAAAAACAGTGTTGCCAAAAAGATACTAGCAAAAAAATCACCCATTATTATACAAAAAAATTTATTGCGCAGCAAAATATAAACCTTCAGATTACAAAACGAATTTCAGTCTGTCAAGTATTGGGTGTATGTCAGAAGTAAATTCGGCTGTTGTGGTTACACAAACATATTCTTTTTGCTATAAAGATCTAATGTTTGTCTTTTTGTTGTGTCAAGGATCATTAAAAAACAAATTATTCTCATTGGTGCAACTTAACAACTAAAGCAAACTTTTAGTGCCAGTCAAAACAAAAAACTGCATCTAAGAAAAACAACCTTTATAAAACTGTTATTCCAGTTTTCAATAAAACTGTTTTCTAATTATTGCGTACTATGTTTTATCATAATTTTAAAAACGTTTAAACAATTATCCAGCATGAGCTGTGAGAGCCATAATAAAACAAATTAAAGAACAAAATTGCTGCACAGCAGTGCACCGTTTTTGGGTTTATAAGCATTGTATAAACGTTGTTAGAACATTTATAGCGGCGTTGTGGTTTTAAAAAAATAATAAGGAAATATAGATGCGAATGTTTATTTCTTATTTATTCTTATTTAACGTCAGAAATTAATTTTTTATATATTATCACTTCTCTGATTGTAGAAGTTCAACGAAAATTGATCAATATATTGACTTTTTTGTTTCTTTTGCAGGATCTTCTCCCATCAGATTTGCATAAGGTGAAGTCAGAACCAGATGTAGTTTCATACAACCTTCCGTCTCTGGCTATATCTTTACACAGTCATGGTAAGTATGGAATGAAGAATGCTCTTTTAATATGTCGTATTGCTACACCAACAAAAGACTTTGCCTGAACTTCAGGCAACGCGGACAAAATTTTTGGCCAGATTTTAGCTAGATAGTTAGGTTGATGAAGAGAACCTTATCGGGCAAAACCAGAATCATAGAGCTTCAACTTGTATGATATTCCAAAGCTTGGTGTGAGCGTATAAACGTTACCTCTGACACCTGCTACAAATATATCTCAAAAATATATCTTAATCTCTGAAATGTCATCACGAATTTATTTTTGTGTCTACCTACTTGGATATATTATACAAAAATTCAAACAAACTTTTTTATATTATATTCGTCATCTAAATCACAAATCACTTACTTGATAGAATACCAGTAAAAAATACTTTTCTTTATAGAAAACAAATTTATTACGTGAGCGTGATGCCCAGCGTTCTTACATAAAAACTGTAATTGTGCCAAAGCAAATAACGTATGAGGATTTTTCAAAATTTATACATTAATCATCGTATAACTTTTCGTGTGGACAACTTTATAGATGATTACTTTAGATATGTGTATGTGAGTCCTCCAGCTAGACAGTCAACAAAATAGTTCGATCCCGTTAAGCGATCAACAGAATATAAATATCTTTCATAATGACATTAACAACCATGAATGTCTGGATCGATTTTTTTGATTCATTATGAAACACTTGTTTTTGATGTGTTTTAATTTGGAGTAACTTTTGATTCGATCCACAACATGGCGTTCATTTCCGGCAAAATTATATGTTCCTAGATTCTTTGTTATTAAACGTTTCATCACAAAGTTAACTTCATCTTCAGACGTGGAACTGATGCACGATGGAGAAACTTCCGGGCTTTTTCACCCGAAAATGCCTGTACGATCAATGTTGAGGGATACAATTCCCTGCAAGAGAGGAGAACCGTCCTCACTTCCTGTCAGCGATTCCACTCCCTCGTTTGCAAGAATAAGGCCCCTATCGTCAGTCGTCCCTACAATTGAAGGACGCCTTTATGGCCTCCTTGATTGTCATAGTTTTCTACTTCTCCGTGTCAGAACTCTATTTTGAGGTTATGTCACAAACATCTATTTGCATCAAATTGTGCTTGTTTTTGAGTTATATCATGTTTTATCAGCCTGAAATTTCCTACAATTTAAAAAGAAAGCATATCATCACAATAGGAGAGCGCTGACGCTGACACGGGGCAAGTGTAATCTAGAAATTTTTGAAGGAGAGAAAGGAGTATGACAATCAAGGAGGTCATAAACGCGCCCTACAATGTGTAGGGACCACTGACGATACGGGTCTAAGGGTCCTTATAAAATACTTATAGGTTATCGATGCCTGGCAATTCAATAATTTGCTGCCATTTAAAGGCACGTGCCCTATTAGGGGAAACAGACTGAAAAGAAGAGAATCTGAATTCTTCCACTGGGTTCCGTTGCACGTAATCAAATTGTAGCCCGCACATTTGCGTGCAAATGATAAATATTCGTGCAACTTAATGCTTACAAGACACAGCACTGTACCTTAATTTCACTTTTATGAGCGCTAGTCCTGTCAGACGAACCGAGAACTCTGTATGTCAGACAGAATGAATGAATGAATGAGTCATGAAATTAGAGACTTTCCGGCCACTATAACGAGCCAGCGCTAGGCCGTTTAAACGGGCTCTTATCCACCTCTACATTCCTTAGTCCGCAAGCCTCGCCTTTCTAGCGAAGTTGAGTATGGCCTTGAGTCCAAGCTCCTTGACGTCCTAGGGGTCCAAAGTAATGGACCCCGTATAGTCTGCCTGTAGTAACTCAGAGCTTCACAGCGACACAGAACGTACGCCGAGGTCTCTTCCTCTACCCCGCAGCGCTCACACAAGGAATCCTCAGCCACCCCCATCACGTGAAGGTCTCGCCTTAACGTGTTATTGCCAGACAACAGTCCCAACAGCAACCTTAGGTTGGCTCTATCCAAAGATAAGCAGAAACGCCCATCCTTAGCGTTGAGCCCAACAATGAGTTCCCTTGACTGACGGAGATATCTAGAGATGCTTCTCCACTTCTGAAAGTGTTGTATTGCAATCCACTTCTCCATTTTCTTCCTAACTCTTTGAGTGGGTACTCCTAAAGCTGGCTCAGGACCAACGAGCTTGCTGGCTGATCCTGTCTTTGTCAGAGCATCCGCCGTCTCATTGCCCTTTATCCCACCGTGCCCCGGTACCCACATCAACGATACCGGATGCCTTGCTGCGAGACAATCCAGAGCTTTCCTGCATTGCAACACAATGCTTGAAATACTCCTCCAGACATTTAGTGCCTTCATTGTAGCCTGGCTGTCGGAAAAGATTGTTATTCTTCTCATAGCCCCTCCCCCTCTCTTTTAGGCAGAATTGAATGCAATCTTGCACTGTGCAATAGTAAATAAGAGCTGGCGCATAACAATAAAAATAATCGCATAGCGTTAGGACGTCCTGAAGCACTGAACTGAACATACTGGCGGAACACAACAGAGTAACTCTTATATGGGTGCCAGGACATCCAGGTAACGCGAGAAATGAAATTGCGACCGAGTTCGCACTTAAAGGTTCATCCACAACCCATACAGGCCCAGAGCCTGCTTGGAGCTGCCAAAAACCACGATAAGGAACCATTGCAATAAATGGGTTAAAAACAGCACAAGGAAAATTGGCACTTAGGCCCGTATCGTCAGCCGTCCCTACAATTGTAGGGCGCGTTTATGGCCTCCTTGATTTCGGTAATATTACGTCTTCTTCGTTAACGTACATGTATGTCCTGCTTTTGATTTCCGACATACTGACAGTTCTGGCTTGAGGTTATGTTGTTGTTCTGACGTTCAATGGAAAGCAGAACCATAATTTATAATTTTCTTGTAAATAATGTCGATCACTCAAAAATACCTCGCTACATTGAACAAATTCCACAACCTGTGGTATCTTCAAGAAATTGTTGAGTTATGAAAATTAATGCACATAGATATATTATATTACAATATTATATTTGTGTGTATGAAAGTCCAGAAACTTACAACCAAGCTATTATGTTGATGAAGGTTGGTAAGTTACAAAACAAATCATTCCATATCCATATTATATACTTATAGCATTATTTTCAGGTGTGACTCATTCTCACAGACTTTATGAGATGGTCCCTCCATGAATAAGAAACATTATATGGCAAGTGCAATTATTGCATTGTAGATGTCAGAAATGCTTTTTTACAAATCATTGTGGGAGTCTAGATTGTGTAGAGTGTGAGGCACAAGTATGTGTAATGTGTGTATGTGAAAATCATAATTACTATTATTGACCATCGCTATTTCAGGGTGCTCAAAATGCCATGGATATGTAGGATTACCAAAGATGAAATGTTACAGAGAGTAAACAGAAGAATAGAGTTGCAGCATGAAGCAAAATCAGAAAAACCTTATGACAATTCCATAATTAATTACGAATCTGAAAATAAAAGAAGATTGTGACTCATCAAGGGAATTACTTTCCAGTTAAGCAAACTCCAACCAATTCAAACGACTAGATAAGCGGAAAAGACCCAATATGTTGAAAATTGTAGTTACCTCAAAGTCAGACTGGGTTAAGCCCTAATAGGTAGTTTTAAGATAGTTTCATTGCATCTTTATCATGAACTTAACATGTAAGACTCATTTTAGGCAAAAATGAACTTAACCTAACCTGGCTCTGAGGTACCGAATTTGATTTGTATTCAGCCTTCAGCTACTAAGCATACTTCAGTGGTATCATCAAGAACAAGGAGATCAATGCACTGAGCCTCAAAGAATAATATGTTGTATTTATAAAATATGTTGCACCATATATTAATGTTGTAGAATGTGGTATATGAAGAAAAAGTGAGGACAGCTAAATACAGTTCCAATTTGTTCATTGACTTGTAATCTTAACATAAAAGGGAAAATCTACTAAAACTGTGGCATAGGGAAAAAAAACATTTACTGTTTGAGAAAGAAATATCGAAAGTCTGCATACATTTCTTGAAGTATTGGTAGCTGCCAAAATAAGCCAGTGAAATCGGTACGAATGTCGCTGGTGGAAATCAAAACAAAATTCGTACATTAAAAATACCTCTTGATAGTACATATACGCGGAATTTTAAGAAAGTATTTGAAGTGACATTACAGATCGTAACAAAAAAAATGATTGATTTTTAAAAAGCTTACTACCCTGTTTCTCAAAAGTTAAGACGTTTAAGACATACAATTATATGAAGTTTTCTTCTTAAGATGGAACCAAAAGTCAACCTCTTAAATATTGACATTCAATTGGAAAACGACTTATATATTTTATGTAAGTAAATTTGATTTCATTAAAAAGGTTATTGTAAAACACTATTGTAGTTTTTCATTTTGGAAATGTTTTTTTGACTATATATGTTATTTGTTCATATTTCCTGTTATTTGTACCTTTTAGATATAAAGACTTCACTTGATTACTGATACTTAGGTATTTTGACATACGATCTATGAATTCCTTAACAATGTCATGTATCATATTTTCCAGTTGGTACTTGCAGAATATAAATAAAAGAATACTTGGTAAAATAAATATTTTTTATTCTACATTGTATACCGACAATACAATAGGTTCGTTCAAAAATATCTAGAAATATAGATTTCATCAATTTTTTATCCTTGACGTTAACTAGATTATATGCTATTTTCTAAATTACAAGCTATGTAAACAGGGCTAAAAGGATATCTAAACAACTGCAAAGAAATCTTTCTAGTTTGGGGGTACATTAGATCACTTTGGAAAGTTAATTAATTCTAGGTATCAAACTTCTTGAAATATCCAATTTAAATACACTGACCCTTCTTTTTTCCCTCTAATAACGTTCCTTACACTGGAGTTATTGTCTTGGAACAATATCTTGTACCCTGGGCTTATCAGGATTGGATGTTCTTTGAGCAATGCAAGTTGATCTGAAAAAATAGTATTATA